TAGTAATGCTATCTTAGCTTCGTCTTTGGTAGAATCTCCACATAATTATACCTCTACCGCATGATTATGATTTATTTCCTGCAATACAATCATCTGGTGGCTAATATATCTAACTGTAGGAGGTGATATTAACATCTTAATATGTGTTATTATCATCTATAGCATATACATAATATTTACAACACTCAGGACACCTTATGTTTTCACTATAAACCTATTTCTGCCATAAAAGTCGAACAAAACAGTGAAAATCAGCAGAAATTGTGATAAAGATAGGAAAAACGATAAATCTTACCATGGTATCGTTAGTTGTAACGCAGTTTTCGTAGCCTTGACGACAATACAATTTTTATGAAGATATATGCCTGAATCTTCCTATTTCATATAAAAATAAAAGATTTGTCTACCATCAGTGTATACCTAAGTAGAAATAATTGCTAATCTGCGATGCAAACATCGAAAAACTATTATAGCAGCACCTGAATAATGAATTTTCAAGGACTTCACGATACCATGTAACGCAAAATGGAAAAACCCCTTTTTACCCAATTATGAAAACGGAAAATAGACTTTCAAATTTATTCATCATGTATTTCGAAATTTGGTTGTGCACAAAGCAGAAATGAAAAAGTAGCGCAAAAAAGTGTCGCGATACCACTGGAGCGCTGCCTAGGCCGGTCCATGGTGTACAATTAACTGACGCGCGTTGTTTATACTTGACCTTGACAGGGAACGATGATCGTTTCGATATTCATTGACTCAACCGCTAGATGATTTAGCCAGGGCTTAATGACATTTCACCGGCCCTACAACCTTTACCAAGATTAAGGGAAAATTTGGGGGAATATTGGGGAATGTCCCTAGGTTTGGGGAAGTTTCGGTGTTTTGGTGTCATTTCCTCAAAGTTTACTATAGTGGCTTCCCCAAAATTTGACAAAATGGGTCAAATTTTCCCCAGAATTGTGAGCTCGGGATATTCATACGATGTTCTCTAAGTGTAAGTTACTCAGACACGAGAAAGAAAATAAAAGAATGGGTTAGTAAACCAAAGTTTCGCATCAAGCCACATTGGAACGCTAGTTGTACGTTGGCTTAGATAGAATTCACTACTCAATCTGTTTTAAATTAAGCTTGAAAATCAATACAGCTCACATAAGACCATCAAGAATAATGCGCTGTACGATGTTTTCAGTCAACTAAATAGTAATAACTTGATAAAAAGAGTGCTGGTCAGGGAGTACACCTGCTGTAGACAAGTCGAGTATAACTTTCAAACCATTCCTATGATAATGGTCGGGACCTTCAGTCAACGTTTGTATGAATACGTCAGTGATACTTTCAGTTTGCAGGAGACTTGTCTGACCGATTTCAGTGATAATTTGCTTAAGTGGCTGCTGTCAAACCTCTAGTAAAACTGATAACGTTCGTAGCACTTAATAAGGGACCAACTGACTTGAAAATTCATCGAAACCATCAGTGTTAGGTAAAGATAAATTCGAGAAGACAACACTATTTGTGATAATAGTTGTTGTTTAGATTATCGACTAATTTAGTTTTTAGTTTCATGGCTTAAATCAACCATATTACGTGATTGATAATTTGAAACAAAGCTTTATGAGGATGTCGGAAAACAATTAATGATAGCTACTTATAATGTTTATTTGATATTGACTTTGGGGAAAAAATTGATAGCGTTGTTTTAGATTTCGAATATTTTCTATAGTTCTCCAAGTGCAGTTTACACAACACTCATCACAGTCGAAGATTCTCCATTGAATTGTAACTCAGACACGCTGTTGTGTTGTATTATATTTATGTTTAGTCGTTGGATTGTTTGGAATAAACCAGTCAAACACATTTATTATAAAAAAACAATGTAACCCATATACGCCAAAAGAAAGCGATCGGAAGAGGGGCGCGTGAGATTTATTAGAGACTATTATTATTTTCGTAATTTGTGTTAAACTGTGACAATAACAGTGCGTACAAACAACATTCATTTTTCGTTTTTATTATTTGAACAAACATACAAAGTCTAATAAGCCTAAATTTTGTTACATGCTTGGCTTAAGAAAAAACGTTAAGTGTACTGTCTTGTATAATCCGTTTCGCTTATCTGACGTTTTGGTCGCCTGTGTAGAATTATCGTTGATACTTGTCAAATCTGTAATTCCTTTACAACACAATAGGTTTGACAATAGGTATAACAGTTCATGGAAAAGCCAATCTTCGTCTATCAATACCCACTGAGTCGGTGTTTCCCTGTTTTGTACTAAGAAATATTTCGATTTTCTTCGAACATCGTTTCGGCTGTGAAGTAAGTTATCGATTTGGCGGTGGGAAACTTTGTGAATTTATCTATGCATGTCAGTAGATAATACAAGCCATTAGAACGTAGTAAAGAACCTACCAATTCTGTATTAACGCAGGCAAACTGTGCATCTGATTTTCAGAAAACTCTGATAGAAAAATTTGTGTGACGGTTAACCTTTGATTTCGGGCATACCAAACACTCTTTAACCGAATTGTGTACATTATTTTGTAAATTTGCCTATATGTAACTGGTATTGATTAGTCTGGTAGTAGCCTTTGTGCATAGTTTTCAGGGTCGAGGCATTGCCTTCTTCGTGTCCCAGTAAATGAAACTGCCTTCAGTAGGTGATGGCTCTTTGCTGCAAATGGTTTTTGCAATTCTTGATACCGTTTATAATCGTCTCGAAACTTACTGTAGATTGTTGTATTATTTTCATTTCCATCCGAAATAATGCATTTCCCGCCCGATTGTCTACCTTTAGATATCCTTTAAATAAACTTAACGTATTGACCAGACACCGTTTTATGTATTCGATCTTAAGCTACATTGTCTTTGTAATTGCTAGTACTACGCCAGTCGCCTTCATTATTTGGACCATGTGTAGAGCGAATGCCCACTGGCTGTCAGAGAGACAAACAATACACAGCCGTATTATGTAGTCAAATTCGACTCGAGCTATTTTAAGTTAATCCATTGATATTCTCCTGGTTCTAGTAAACACAGTTGCACCTTCTGTTCAGATCTTATGACTTACCTTTAATTTATTTTTAAAGTCTGAGGGTTCGGTTTGGTTAGGTGTGGAAATTCCGCGAGTATATCATGGCATTTCCCAGTTGTTACTGACGGAGTTTGTATCAAATTAAGACAAATAATACGACTTTCTTTGCTATGGGGTACACGCAGGTGAATCGGCTCGTAAACTTGAACTCTAGCATCAAAGCTTTCTGCCCAGACATCGCGATCCTAATTTTGTTGGTATTTTTTAGTGTAACTGGGGAAATTTGTCGGCTTAGCTAAGTTTCTATCCGAAGAATGATACCAAAACGTTCAAACTTGAATACCTTCTTCTGATATAAAATAAGCGACCGTTTGGGAAGCCCTCCTTGGCCGTTTAGACCTATGAAGCGGTTATTCTATATTCCTGAGAGCCTCATTACGCTATGAACAATGTCGACTGCACAGGGTTGACTTGGCACGAAACTTCCAGTAGTACCAACAGGACTATACAGACTGTCTGAACGAATGTGATCTGCTCTGAGACTTGGGTCTCGGTGGCTGGGTTGACCTGCTCTTATCTCTATTGTTTATTTGTATTTTAGCAACAGACTTCATTAAAATATTAACACTCGCAATTAGTTCTGTTATGACAGGGTCTTTTGACAATTCTTTTTGTGTATGATGTATTATACGTGATCCAGTGAGAGGGCGTCTTTCCATTATTCTAACTGCAGTTTTAGCGGTTGGAGTAGATCTTTGCTCAAATCATGGGACAGGACAGTTGAAGCGCTAGTTTTTTTGTAAGCGCAGTTTCCAACACTCAATTCCGGCTGATGGAGAGTATAATTTCACTGAAATTATGAACCAACCAATCTTGACCCAAATGCACTGGACGGCCGTTCCTTTCTAATAGGAGACTCAGCAGCGAGTATTCACAATCTCATATGCGGCATTTGAACTCAGTACCTTTCACTTCGCTCGAATGGTCAGCCTCTAGACCAATTTCTAACTTCAGACAATCCACGATGTCCTGTTCCCCTCAATTTTACTTAATGGTAATCACTTACTAACTGTGGTAAGATCATCTGATCTACTATCTGCCGGTTTGAAGACTAGTACAAAACATGTCAGATAGAAAATTGTCACAGGATAAACTAAAGTCACTGGTTGGGTGAATGTGCAGGTGATCGTTAGAAGTTAACTCTAACAAGAACGCGATAATGCAAATAAATAACCACGATGATTCATATCATTACACAATATGTGGAGCTGTATTACATGGGGTAATTGACTATAAATATTTATAAGTCATACTAAGCAATGACCTCAGAGCTGCGGGTGACTGATAGGCTGCCGCTGCCAAAAACGTAATTATCCTATGGGCTATTTGTGGGTCATTTCATTACTTGGACAAAGAAATATTTAAGGTACTAAACTGGCTTTTACAGGGCCACATTTAGAATATGGGATTCTTTCTGCGAATCCTTTATGTAAATATGAAGCGGATACGACAGAGTTCTATAGAGAGGGAACAAAAAAATAACAAATCCATCCGCTCCATCTGATGGAAGCGAAATGCGAAGCCTGAACTTACTACAGTTATCTTGCCACAGGTTACGGTGTGATCTAATACTGGCTTAACATATATTGAACGATGAACCTGGTATTCATCTGTCTTATCTTTACCCTTCATCTAAGACTGACCATCGGGGGGTATATTCTGAATACTTTCAGAAGGTTAGATCAAACTGTTTACATCCGGAGTTCTGTTTCCCTCAACAAAGGAGTTACTGACATTCTCTACGAGAACACGTGATATCACCACTTTCCGTTGATATTTTTAAAAGGAAATTTTATCTTCACAGTACTACAGACTGCAATGATTAATATAGGTCGATTGACTTTTCCTTACATCTAAAAACCGAAGGTGTTTGAATTCTCTGAATTCAGGGTCATTGACATTGTGACTACTTAAATGTCGTGAATTATGACTGAAGGTGACCAGGAAAGCGCCATAAAATATTTGCGTTTCGTCTTAGATAACTGTAACGAAAATAATGTGTTCCTAGTTTTCGATCAGGTACATAATTCACTCCGGTCCTTATTGCTTAGGAAAAAGTATGCAAACCTTTCCCAAAACATTAATTCCAGGAAATTAAAAAATGATGAAGTCGAGTCCATATATAGAACATATAGTCATCTGTTCGAAATTTCTGCTAACGTTGATAGATCCAAAGCCTGTGTTGAATTCCTGGACGACATGAGTACTGTTTTGTACCTGATCACAACTGAAAATCCTGACTGTAAATTATGGTCATTGTTGTCTGAAGAATGTTGTCTGGCTTTTACTTCAGCACTAAAAACCTTGTTTTCGTCTATTAGATACAAGCAAGTTTCTAACTTCCTTAATTATGTAGTGAAGTAATGTCAGTTACTGCACCAGAATGTCTGCCGATCATCAGCCACATCTGCTCCTTCTTATTAGATTTGAGCGAATATTCCAAGAATCGCAATGTATGCTGCAATTCACTTAGTACTTTGTCGCTTATCGCCCTCCCTGTAAATGCTTTTCATGCGGTGAATGATGACGCTGATGATATACTCAAAGGTCATCTCGCCAATTCGTTAAAGAGCTTCTTACCAGGATTTTCCCAATCATTCTACAGAATTATAACCGCCAATCATAAGGTGTGGTCAAGTATAAGAGTGGTATGTGCAGTGCCCATTATAAATTAATCCATTCAGGCTGCATTCAATGCTTGGTCTTCCATACTAATTTCTGTTTTTCAAAACGAACCTGGTTCTAATAACGTGCAAAAGAGTATGTTTCACTGTTCTAAATTCCATTTTATGTATATCATATCCCTTAAAGTCAGAAGCATATCGTAAGGGGGATAAAAAGTCGTTATAAAGTTTCATAGATATATGCAAATGAGTTTTTTTGTTGGATGTATCCTAAAATACATTAACCATTTTTCAACACTACCTGTGTGTAAGGATCTCATTTAAAAGACTGGTCTTCCACCTCCAAATCTTGTTATATTTGAAGACAATATTAAGAAACATCAGTTAAACAACAGTAATCAAGTTAGTAAAATAACACATCAATTTATGTACTTCATGGTGGTCGCATATTAGTGTGTCCAGACTAACTTGTATCCTTTCTTATCGTCGTTACTTTACATAGATGTACCTTAAAGTCATTCTTATATATTATAGTAGATCACTTTTTAAGGTAATTGTCATATCCCGATAAGAATAATGAATGGTAACTCTTGGGATCCATTTGTGGACCAATACTAAACGTATATTTTTATCGTATAATTGTTAAGTAAATAAACTGTACATATTCATATTCCTCTTATTATAAGCTTTATTTTGACCCATAAACTATTATTATATGTTTTACCATTCTTGAGTTATACCCAGTATATTAATTACCACCTCTCTCATTCAGTCACATCTGGCTAATTCTTGTACAAATGTTGTTTCATATTTTATTGGTACGTTGTGTTCTGTTTGATTGGTATATAAACTCAGTATGTTTGAAATACAAGGATTCATATTGGAGAGGCTGAGATTGGTGTTCTGGACTGGGCTGGGCTAGGCGGGCTGGCTGGTTAGGGCTAGGCGGAAAGCAGGATCAATCAGGACTCTAGGCTGCTCGCACGTGTTTTGCGTGTCCTTGATTCGATCGATAGTTCATTGCTCTCTGATTAACGATATCGTTGCGTTATACAATAAACAGAGCACACAGGTTCACAAGCTGTAACAGTAATCACAAGGATTCTGTCAAAACTCCAGTTTTTTAATCTTCGATTTAATTCAGCAACGTACTCTTGTTTCTTAATATTGAAACGTCCTATAGAAACTACTGGGACTTCGATAATCTTAAGCTTCTAAGGACAAGCTGACCATGTCATTCTGAACTCTTTAAGTTAAAACTTACTGTTCAAATCATACGAATGACTATATGAATATTTGCTTGAGTTATTTATCAAATAGAGTTATCCTCTGGGTATTTTTCTCCAAAGTTTCGATTTCAAATTCCTTAGCCTTAATGTGAACCTACTTTTCAAGTTTCTCTGGCCAGTAGTAAATCATTTGCAAATAATCTACATTTCTCCCGAAATTTTTGACTCATTTTCTCTAGGGCTTGGTCCTGGCCCAAACAACTCTACGCATGCATATAACGCTTGTTTATTAGACCTACTTCCAAACGTTACTTATTTTCATACAGCGGACCGTCTTCTCTGTCATAATGAAATCACCAGACTATTTCAATGAAAATACTTTTACCTTAAAGTTCTACAGCTCCAGTCGTGTCGTCTGGATAGCTTTAAGACTAAAAGCAGCAAGCAATAAAATAGACACCAGGGTTTGAATAAGGTCAGAGTTAAGTAGCATCAATTTAAAAAATCACTGGCTGTTCAAATTTTCTGAGAAAGTACATACCTATTAGTTCGAGCTGTGGTTTAGGATTTTGGACAGGTTATATGGCCCCAAATCGATCATATTTGCGCATTTGGATTTTTCAAATCCTGAGCGAAGTATTACGGAAATTTCGTTCCTCGACCTTTTCTTGTCCTGTTTGAATTTTTCAGAACGGACGTTTCATCCCACTTGATATTTCTTATTCTTTGCTTCTCAGATTATTGGGTTATCCCTCTAGGTTGAAGTGAGGTGTAACAACTTGAACGGAATACGTATTCTTAAAAGGTCTAATATGACCAGATAAACTGTTTTATGCTGTATTAGATTTTAGTGAACAAAATACGTCATTGTTTCGTAACAATTTGGGTTGGAAATTTACGTGAAGTTCGTGTTTCACTTTAGAGAGCGCTTTTTCCGTTACCATACGTTTCGTGATTGAAGGGATGTTAAAATTTGGCGAACAGCTATGAAATATGAAGGAAAGTTGTTCAAGTTTATTATTGCACAAGTTGTTTTTCCCAGTTCAGCTATCGGAATAATGTATGGTAAATTCGCAGACTGCTAACATTCTATCGCCTTTGTTTTCGAATCATTACTCTTATTTGGTGGAACAACTAAATGGGCGGTCTAGAATTTAAACGAAGACTGCTACTTGGAATGCCAAGCTTGTTGATGAGTTAATGAGTCCTCATTGACTATGGTGGATTGTACTTGTGTTACATAAATGGGACCGATGCCTAGGCCGATGTACAATGCTATCCTACACAAGATTAGCCTAAGGAAGAGCTAGGAGCGGCTAGGTTAAAGCGTGACTGTTGGTCTAAACTCACTCGATAAGTGTACACTGCCTAGTTAGGATCCGCGCGATAACTGTGTCCATTGTTAGAAAACCCTGTGTAAAGTAGCAGTGACACATGCATCTATACTTTATCTTCCGTTAGGTTTTGAGTTATTTCACTCCAGAAACTCATACCTTTTGAACCATACTCCATACATTTAGTCTTAATACCATTGATAATCTTAAGCATAAGTGGATGGTGGTTAGCAGGGATGCTAGTTGTCATCCACCTCGGCTTAAAATGCTTGTGATTTAACGGCAATATTAAGGCACATATGCTTAAAGAGACTGTTAAGTTGTGGTCCTAAACGTCAATCATAAGATCTAAACAACCAGTATATGTATAAACTATTATTTATATTATTTTGATTCCCCCTCGTTCCAGCTTGTTAAGTTCATTTCGTCATCCTGACGTGTTGTGGCAACCTGGGCTGATTCACTGTTGTGTCACTTTAAATTAGTTGTGAATGGCTAGTTGACAACAACTTTGCCCATCGATTGGTCCTATCGTAGTATAACTTTCAACACAGTCAGATATCACAGTTTGAAGAACACGTAATCTTGTAATTTAATTTTATCATTAAACTTTATAACTGTTAATAGTTGTTTTCCGATTAGTGATGAAGATCTGGTTTGATTATGATTGAGTTAATTCCGCATTCTGTTAGAGGTGTGTTTTGATTGTTCGTTATCAACAAAAGCATATTTTATTTCGTTTTAGCAAAGTCTACAAAAGAGTGCGGACATTTTACTTCCGAGTGGTTCAAAACAACTCAATCTCACATAACGTCTTTGGTCTCAAAAACTATTGATAGTGTAATTCACACTCAGCTGGAGCTAGATGTAGACAGAAATGTACGACTATCTGCTGCGTTTACACACTGGCTGGGTGTATTACTACTAAAATGTCATTCACTGATCAATACTAGAGAAAGTCAGCACCTTAGATACACTGTAGTTTCTGGTCTGCTGATGTTAGCTTCACAGTCATCTTTAAGAAATCCGATATCAAACCAAAGTTCTCTCAAAGAAAGTAGTCTTCTGGCCCAAAAGTTATTGAGTGATTTCACCACAATTCATGAAGGGGATGTGAACTCTCTTGTAGTTCCTAAATCACTTACCAATCTTTTCGGTCATGAATTAATAAGAAAGACTGCTTTTGATTCTTTAACAGAACAAGTAAACTTTCTTTTGAGTCAACTACTCAGTCTCCTAGGTAAGTTTAAGTATAAAAATTCGCTTTCAACTTGCAATAATTTCTGACACTTGTTAGGCTCTATAATTTTCATTTTAAAACCGGAATTATGTTCGAAATTACTACTTTTGGGGAACGTCATTCTTGCTCGTTAGATTATTCTGTTTTCGTCTTTGAATTGACATCTTAGGCTTCCTACATTTCATTGAATCACAATATACACGACCGATCTTGAGAATTGTTGACCACGCAAAAATGTATGTAGTAATTTTTAGTTCGCGATTGTTGGATTTGACTGAAAAACACAAACTATCTTAATACCGACGTTAAGTAGAGTTAAACCCATAACTATGTGTTTTGCTTATAAGTACCTAACCAATGTGACTGAAATGATAAAGATCGTGTAGCAGTAATGGAGGTTTACTATATGTGGTTTTATACTTCATCGGTGGACGCTCAAAACCCATTTTAAAATCAGCTTGAGGTTCTCAGTTGCCGTAGTTATTAAATTGTAATTTAAACCAACGAATTAATTAGTTAGGTCGAAAGATACTATCAAATTCCTACTTGATTTCTTGTATTTTTTTTACATGATTCTTATATTCTCAACTATTGGATTATATCTTCTGCCCACTGATTGTCAATCTAAGAATGTGCAAGTTTTCTAGTTAGGGTAACCAAAATATCTGTTCATTGTTTTTACCCCGTTATCTGTTTACTGATTATCGCCGACAGTAATCTGAAATGCATAAATTCATTGATAATTAACACAGTGGTCCTTAGTTAATGTTCTCGAGTCTATCTAGTAGATTTCAACATCTCTTTTGTGACTCATATGAGATTCTTACTGAGGAATGAACAATTAAAACCAATGCCGAATTTTATTGGGATTTTTCAAGAGATATTATCGGATAGTTATAATTTTATGATTATTAACAATACTCCACCTCAATCATTTCAGTACCTAATGTCAGATCATTTTATCAGTGAGCCCATTTCAATCTACTTCGGCTTGTCAGACAGGTAATACAGTAAATAATAGCATAGCATACGTAACCTGCAAATTAATGCATAAGCTTTTACAATATTACCTTATCTAACTAATTTTATTGATTTCTGATTGCTGACTACATCTATAATATAAATATAAGTTAATATTGCCTTCTAATTGACTAATTTTCAGATGAATCACAACTACAGAAGCGTTTAAGAACAATCCTTGGCCACTTAAATGTTCTGGGTAATTCAAAATTGTCCATGTTTTATATTTAACCTAATACGGCTGATAGATAAAGTCCCATAACTACAGTATTTTTATTTCATTCATCCTATTTGTTCCTTAAATACCCATGTCGACACTATTTATGAGAAAGTGTAAGTGTAACACTTTCATGACAATTAATTGCTAGTTTTAAGATTGACACCCTATTTTCTCGTTTTTAATGAATCAAAAGCCTAGAAAATTACTTGAAATACAACAGTATCACATGTTTTATTTGGAGAATAGCCGTGAACAGATGACCATACCATCCAGACTTATGCAATCTGTTTCTACCTTAAATTATTTTCAATGATGCACAACAAATGGTCCCCCTAAGGAATTCCAAAAACTAACTCATTGTTACTGTTTACATGCTATTCATCATAACTGTAAGGATTCTAATCAGTTGTATCCAGTAAATCGTCTCACAATAGTTATCAAGAAACCCATTAAGAATGCATGTTTACTTTCATGCAAATACAATTTTTTATAAATAAATTAATATACTTGTAATATCCCAGTGAAAAATTAAGAGTATATTAGCTTATTTATAACAATCTACCCAATGCTCAATTTATTCGAAATTATCAAGTCAAACCTTGATAATGGTATCTAAAATTTTTATAATTAACATCATAAACTGGTCTTAGTTAAACAACCTTGGAAAAACAAAAAGCAGTGGACAAGTGTTTCGTTTTAGTACAGGACTCCTCAGCAATGTGCATTCACAACCCTGCTACCTGTGAAATTTTGAAAATCTCCATAAACCCACCATAGTATCATCATTTTTAGTTAGTTTTTTTATGTCTGCCCGATACTCTGAAATGTTTTCGATATTTCAAACAGTGATTGACTTATTACCATTTTAATGCTAGAGTAACAAGATCGTCTATTTCACTGTAAACGAACGATTAATCTGTTAAAAAATTTTTGTATTTTACAGATTTTTCGTGTCTAACGATTAGAAACCTCAGTGTTTTGTTTTCGCTTTTTATCTGTACTTGATTCAGATCCTGAGGATATTTGTACTTTTGTTCATTCATCTGAAACTTTTCATCGCTTTTGTTCTGCTTTGGCCAAATTTTTGAACTTCAATTTTAGTTCTGTTGAGTTGCAAGAATTAATCTATTTGTTGCCACTCAATTACGATCATAATTCTGGTAAGTAAATAGAATAACTGAAGCTTCATATCCAATATCCACTACACGTTCCATATGTTATTCTTTTTGTTTGAGGTATCCGAATGGTTGAAGTGAAAACAAGCAGTTTTTGTTGTTTGTATCTGCAATACACATTTTTGTTTTGTGGTTTATATCACAGACTCTGTGGCAATTACACACCATTGACATTGAGAGTTGGTCGCGCAATATCTCATATTGATTGAAGTTAAACATGTACACTGTTTGATGCCGATTCGTCACTCTAAGGTTTTAAATCTCGTCACGAGACCTCAATATTCTGAGTTCAATCCTAATAATTCCCACAAACCTTCATACATATTTCAATATTTATTGCTCCAAAACCAGCTTTTAACAACTGTTTACCACTGTTTGCAGTATATGTCATATGTTCGAAATTTTCGCTTGATAACCTTATAACCAGTGGGGTAGGCGCTTTTATTGCTGAGATGTTCAACAAGTTAATTGTATCCGTATCAGAAGTACTTACTAATGCTCCAAAGAAAGTGCTCTCAATTTCTTGGTGAATAATGACTTTTCTAAAATCATTAGTATGATGAATAGTATGTCAATCAATAATGATACAATATACTCGAGTGACAACTCTCCACGAGACTGAATTATCAATGTAAGCACCTAAATGAAGTGTTACTCAATAATAAGATATTTAACTGGTAGTATAAGTTGTTTTGTAGTAAGATTAGGTGCTTAAATACAAAGTACTTGACACAAAAATGAACATCAACAGATCTTATAAGCTATTGTGGGATGTACATTGTTTTGGTCACTCACATGTGAGCCAGTTAAAGACTGATTTCTGGACATTATTTCTGACTGTCATCTCTATTAGTGGCACTTTAGAGTACGTCACTATGTATTTAGTGTCCGCATTTTGGTTTATTATGGCAATAATAATGTTAAGTTGATGACTGTCCATTACGCGAACAGTTAGAAGTTAGAAAAAGCCCTTACAAATTTTGTGGAATTGATGGTTCACTTACATGGGGGTGTTTATTCACTGATTACTACATGTGTATGCAGGTCTATTTCTGGCAGATAATGGTGGTCGATATACCTCATTCACAATCTACTTGTCTAGCTATCAAATGATAAACTAGTTCGATTACAATATACCGTAATTTATTCCGCTGATTGTGACTATCGGATTCATTAACAGTATTCCGACTTACTATTGATAATTATGTAATGGAATGGAAATTCTGTTGATCTTATCCTGTTGATTGTATGTAGTCTAACACTTTATAATATCGTATTGGATTGCTTCTTAACGTAGCTTTGTCATTATACTTTGGAATTATACACTCATAATAGAACAACTAAATTCAATCTCGTTTATTTTTTACTTCATTATATTTTTTACTAGTTCATTGTATTCTCGCAAACTCTATACTACCGTGTAATTTATTCCGGAAGTCATTTCAGTATTTTCGTGATCATTCAACGTTGATGCTAATTCAGGGTATTGCTGGAAAAATAGCATCTCAAAGTAAGTTTGTTATATTTTTATAGGATTTTGTGTGTATGTTTAACTCTTCAATAATTTACACAGTGATTGTATCATCTCATTTCTCATGAATTAGCAACCAGGGTTCCTTCCCGATATTAATATAAGTAACTGGATTCAGTTGCATAAACGAATCGTCTGACACTAAAAAACCTAGATTTCATTCTTTTAGTAAAGTGATACTATATGCCTACATATATGAGTTCTATCCTACGCTCGCATGCCTCACAGTATGTACATCTATGTATAATGGAGTATTTGCGTAGTGCTTGTTACTTTTGAAATAGTAACTCGTGAAATCCATCCCAGGTGTTATAAGATCCTGATTCAGACTTTTATCTCCTTATATTAACCTCTTAAAAGTGGTGGATTATTTGAGTATTCCAAATCACTAGTTTGTTCACTAAAAGGGACCAGTGTCGAGGTTACTAGTCGATGAGTAAGTCTAACAAAAACTAATGGGTGTAAATATTTCGTTAAATAGGGATGTAAATATACAGGTAAGTTCAAATGGGATGTTTTTAAGTGGCTGGACCTACTAGTAATTCGTTTACTAGGTAGTGTTATTGTTATATCTTGTGACCGCTTATTAAAGGACAGTGAATTATCGATCGAACCAAGGACACGCAAAACACGTGCGAGCACCCTAGTGTCCTGATTGACCCTGCTTCCTGCCTAGCCTAGCCAGTTAAGTCCAGAACACAAGTCTCAGCCTCTGCGATATGAGTCATTATATTTCAAACATACTGAGTTTATATACCAATCAAACAGACCACAACGTACCAATAAAATATGAAACAACATTTGTACAAGAATTAGCCAGATGTGACTGTGAATGAGAGAGGTGGTAATTAATATACTGGGTATAACTCAAGAATGGTAAAACATATAATAATAGTTTATGGGTCAAAATAAAGCTTATAATAAGAGGAATATGAATATGCATAGTTTAGTTACTTAATAATTATACAATAGAAATATACGTTTAGTATTGGTTCATCAATATATCCCAAAAGTTACCATTCGTTATTCTTGTCGGAACATAACAGTTATCCACTGTCAGTTTTAGATAAAAACTGAACTTTTTGTTGAGTAAAATGTATTTGTTCTGAAGGCTTTTGCATATCAGTTAGTTATTGATGCATTCTACACTGAAAAGACTGTTAATTCTCTGTGTCACGAACTTTTTTCTCAAGTTTTTGTCATACTACATTGCTTTATACTTTGAAGGATATCACGGTAAATATGTTTTGTTCAATTTTTACAGGAGAAACAATTGACTTATTTTTGGATACATGTCGAGATATTATGGTTGAAAGTGATAATTGTCTACGTAATTCATGTCTTCTACTTATCATTGGCGCGATTGCTGGTTATATCTCTCGCGGTAAGCTATTCAATGGTGATAGTAGTCGATTTAATCTTATGTTCTCTCGTAGTTGAGATTTATTTCATTTACATATTGAAATGTTATTCGGTTACTTCTGTCTGTATTGTCTTGTCGAAAAACTTTTTTCTCTTTTATTCGAAATAGATATCATGTCCTACTATAACTAGATTCGTGAATGGGATCGGTTACTCATTGTAAAAATCTTTGAATAAAATTAACCCTTAGGTCTGAACCCTAGCCTACTTATTTTGATTTGGTCATCTAGTTAGCATCGTTAACTTCCACATAAACAATGTAATTCAAAGATGAATGCCTAAGATTTGACTTGAAAAATGAGTAATACATATCCATGCTGTTCTATCAAGTGATTTGCTTGCTGGTCTTGTGGCGATGTGATTTCGCTTCGGAAGTTAGTATTTAAAAACTTTCCCTGTGACTTAAAAGTCTTTATTTTTTTAGTAAAGGGAAATTTACTAGCGTGTGCACATGTATAGTATTCATTACATTAGTAAAATCCCAGCAACATACATTTACCTTCATGTAAATCTTCAGCTTCGCAAGTCATTTTTTTGCCTTCATATATATTTCCCTTCGTGGTTTTCAACAATTGTTTAGTCCAAATCAGGCTAATCATCTGAATGGAAACAGTCCTTCCTCTTGAGCGACTTTGCATACACTGCCTAACTGAAAAGAAAACATATAAAGTTTGGCACAAATATATACTACTTTCAGGTTGTTACATTTCAAACTACAACAATAACAGATTCATAATTTAATGAATGCTAATTATGTGCATAGGTCTTCGCACTACTAAATTCAGACTTCAATATTTCCGTTACAAACTCTACTCCCCTATCTGTTCCTACACTATCCAACATACAATGGTGTAAGTGGTTGCTTGGTATTTGTCAAATAGTGGTCAATGTTTATAACATTGTCGGTAGATTTATTCTCGTTCACGTTCCCACTGGAATCATTTAAAATATAATGTGTCGCTAATCTGTTCATTTTATTCTAAGGATTTTATTTTCTGTAGTATCTTATTACTTAGTAATGAAAAAAACTGAATTTGTTGAATATGTTTTTCTATATACAACTCTTAGATAATCATTGAGTGAGTGTTTTGGGGTTCTTTATGGATCTACAATACTTGCGGCATTAGTAACGAATGAGTTACTCTGATACAACCGGTTCTGTTGCGTAGATCGATGACGACAAATAGCGCACTACACTCCAAAACTTGGCCACTTACAGGCCTTCGAATGCCCTGGTACGGCCGAGGGTGGGGAGAGCCCGCTCTCCCTCTTGAAACGCTTTCACATGGCCACGCGTACATAATCACGTCCAGGGAAATCCTTCTCACTACCTTCTCTCGGCGGGGGTGCTTTTTACGAAATTAAGAGGATGGAAAGCGAGTGTTGGGCGGTTGTTTTAGGTAAATATTTTGCTACCATCGCACCCCAGTACAATCGACAGAACACCACCCTCTAACTGCAAGTTTTGTGGTTTTAGCCCAGCCGTTCTCCGACCAACCCCCCTGACACAATTGAACATAGATGAATAAGTGTTCAAGTCTCATCATAATAGGCAACACTGACTACCACACCAAGGTAGCAGCTATGGTCAACTGAGAACTCATTGTAAAGCTGAAGTTCTTTTCCGTTCTAATCGTAGAATAATTACCCATAACTCTGTAGAACTGTAAATATACTTACTTATAATTGATTTCCATTTTTGATGCTTAGATTTCTGACTGACTATGGATCTTAAAAAGGATGTATAGAATTACTTGGTTATTGAAGTTTTACTATTTGTGTATACTGTGATTTTCACCTTCTTTATAATCAAGAATATTATGTGTTAATCAACTGTGAATACAAAATATTAACTTTATGCCATCTATGTGGAAATTATTACTCTGAGTAACCATTCTTTTATTAATTACAATATACATCTCTGTAAGCTTTTATTTTCAAATTTGTTTTGTTTATTTTTTAAAAAAGAATCTCATTTGATTTGTTTGTCTTTTTCGTGTCCTTCATATTAGATAAAATACCATGGAGTGAACGTGAAAACCTTTGTTTGTAAGCTTATTTTCATTATATTATATAGATTAAATGTTTGATATGTACGTGTAAAGTAAAATAAAGACTTGATGAAACTTTAGCTACACTTGATTTGTTTGTCTAATACCTGTATCCATTACATTGAATTAGAAAATAGAAAGTTGATTTAATCAACTTGGGATACAGTTAAAAACCATTTGCATATTGTTTGCTTGAAAAACTAACTCCCTGTGAACCTAAAAAGCTACATAACTTATTATATGTTTGCAGTCTACCAAAAATGGTCACCCAGTTCTGAACAATAGATTTAGACATTATTTCGGCTGTGAATTCGGTTATCGATTTGGCTGTGGGAAACGTGAATCTATCTATGCATGTCAGTAGATAATACAAGCCACTAGAACGTAGTAAAGAACCTACCAATTCTGTATTAACGCAGGCAAAATGTACATCTGTTTTTCAGAAAACTCCGATAGAAGAATTTGTGTGATGGTTAACCTTTGATTTTGGGCATACCAAACACTCTTTAACCGAATCGTGTACACTATTTTGTAAATTTGGTTATACGAATCTGGCATTGATTAGTCTGGTAGTAGCCTTTGTACATAGTTTTCAGGGTCGAGGCATTGCCTTCTTCGTGTCCCAGTAAATGAAACTGCCTCCAGTAGATGATGGTTCTTTGCTGCAAATGGTTTTTGCAATTCTTGATACCGTTTATAATCGTCTCGAAACTTACTGTAGATTGTTGTATTATTTTCATTTCCATCCGAAATAGTGCATCTGTCGCCCGATCGTCCTGACTTTTGACATGTCGGATATCACTGATGAACTGTGATGTGTAGTCAAGGTGTCGGATCTACGGAGAACATTTATCATCTCCAACTTTTAAAGTATTAGCTAGTGGTTTATGACCAGTATAAACTATGAACTCCCCATCTTAAAACATGTGTCGGAAGTGCTTGATGGATAGTTAGACTGCAAGACGTTCCCGTCCGAAGGTCCAATATCTAGTGTCTGCTGAAACGAATCATTTTGAGGAGATCGCAATCGTTTTTCAGGCGTTTCCAGTCAGTTTGTTAAGGACATCGCCTACTGCTCTGACTGAAGCGTCCACCATCGAGGAGAGTTGGGAGTTAGAATTTGAATACGTTAACGTAGATGCTTGGGATAGTTTATCCTTTAGCTGTTTAACAGTCTCGATAGCCTTAGAATTCAGCCCAATTTCTTTTGGTTTCGCCTCAAGAGAATCTGTCAAATGTTGCATTGACCTTGCACGATCAGGTATGAATCTACGATAAAAGTTGACAAAACCATTAAATCTTCTTAGTTGTGTTGAAGAACTTGGTTAAGCTGTTAAGCCTCTGATACATAATTATCATAACTGAAGACTTCATTCACAAACCTTATTTTTAGTCTACATATGATATTTCTGACTATCACTGAGATTTATTTAGATTTCGTGTTTACATATTTTTGTATCTTTTCAGAAGCCTTATGAGTTTATACTTTGATCGAGACATATTAACATTACCTACGCGTCAATCTAAGTGTGTGAACAGCACTAGTGACATTATTATCACCAACGGTAATAATGATATGGATTATTCGACATCGCTAGTTCATTTATCAAATGATAAAATACCTACCAATCATCTGTCTAATGTAAGCACATATAAATCATGGCCACCTGTAAATTCTAATGAGAATCCTGCAAAATCTGAAATAAATCAACTTGGAGATGTGAAAATGAATTCAATTACAATCTGTTTATTACTAGAAATGTTTTGTACTGTTTCACAGGTTAGCTTCGCTTGCTTTTTTATTCGTTAACATTAAATAGATGGAAATCTGCGTAGTTAAGCAATTTCATTCTAATTTAAGTTTATTGCTTTTTTAGTGAGTGTTACTACTACTTATCATCAATGTCAATCTGTTAGGTTATTGGAAAAAACAGTCAACAAGCTTCAGCTAGCGACTACTGATAATCCCTAGGTTATTCAAAGTCTCATAATCTAGAGTTTCAGTAGCATAGCAGTTAAACGAATGACTTTTAGGACTGAAATATTTGAACTTATTAATTCGCCTTTGCATAAATCGATGTCATGTCACATCTAAGCTTAGTCGATTGAACCTGATCAACCTAAATTGGAAAACATGAAATTAACTCTTTATTATTAATCAGTTACTCTAAATAACTCAACCATGAATAACTCGGTGCTGAAATCTTCGTCTCTGGGTGATACCGGTACGAATCCCATAGAGGATGTCGAATTGGAGATACCCTTTTTCAACCAGTACAAGACTCCTACCATTTTACCTCCGACTAATTGTAATAAAGTAAAGTTCACTCCATTCTCCACATTCTACAGTCCTATTAACTCAAAGGATTAGGTAATTTGTGCTTTTGTTTACTCATTAACATATGGTTCATCAGTTTTGGTCTATTACCCAAGTTCCTGGGAGAAAAAGCTTCCTTTCTTTTCTCATCTTTGATCTAATTTCTTCATAATGAACCATAGACTAAACACAATACTATTTTTTTTCCAAATTACTACCAAGTTACAATTATTCAGTATGATGTTTAAAGTTATGGATTATTGTGTATACATCATGTACTATGTATGCGTGTGTATCGGGACACACATAAATATCTACTTTTAGATATCCTTTAAATAAACTTAACGTATTGACCAGACACCGTCCTATGTATTCGATCTTAAGCTATATTGTTTGTGTAATGGCTAGTACTAACACATTATGACTACGCAAACTGAAGTAGATGAACTAGGCTTTGCATGTACGATTGATTAGTTGAAAATTGAATAATTTAACTATTTGGTGGTCACTGTTCTGTGGAAAGTTTCAAAGAAAAGAATGCACTGTGTATTTGTATAGCTTGAAAGTCGACCGTTATGTATTAAATACGTGCTAATAAATCTGTGTTGCATGATTTACCAGTGTTATATTTACATACTATACAAAAAGCAATATCATGAAAAATTAGATAGAATATGTAATAATTAACCACACCATTGTGTTTGCAGTGTCATCACCCATTTTTGTCTCAGGGAAAGAAAAGATTAAAAAAATGAAAAATATCGATTTCGTGGTACCTCAATTTGATCGAACTCTGAATGTTAATTAATTCATAAAAGTTATCAATAATAACCTAAGTTTCCCTGACATTATTTAGTAAATTTGCATCTAATCTAATGACATGGTGGTTAAAGCTACTGAAACACAGGTTTATGGACAATAAAACCGGATTGATTCAATGTAATACACAAAAAGAGTAAATCTTTATACAAACTGCCAGATACTTTTTTTAAATGATGGTTTAACTCGGAATGTGTTGATTAGTCCATTGTTCAATCAGTCTACGCTAGTAAGACAAATCAGAAGGATACTACAAAATTCTCAAATAATTCTATCAAATTCAGAGTAATAAACCTCATTAAGATCATTAACGGATTTAATGGATTTTGCAGTCGCTGAAAGAACGTTTAGTGACCCAATATCTGACTCCAGTTAAATCGTGTGCTGATTGTTATCGAAATATGCATACCGCCAACTGTCGTATGTGTAATCATCGACCTAATTGTTTCTAGAGAATAACGGAATGAAATAAGCCTAATACGGAAATGTATTTAGAATACGTATATTTCCCACACTGGTTGGTCGGAACAGACAAGCAGGGAAACGAAGTGATTCTCAGCGGAGGAGAGTGAGCCAACACGTTCTGATCAAGCGTGACTCAGTATGTTTATCCAGACAAAAATAATTTACAGACATGTAATAAATAGGGTGAGCAATCAACACACATACGATCATATAAAAATGATCAGGATTAATAAGCGGATAATTGAGAAGGTAAAATGTGGCTTGAGAAGAATGAATAAATTAGTATGTCTAGAAGCTAGAATAGCCTATGTGGTCTTGACACAGTACCAGCCACTACAAATGTAAAAACATTTTCAGAAAGAATTAAATACAAACAACTATTACAATTATTTTCTTATTTATCCTTCATAACTTACTACTTATTTACCTCATAATATTTTTTATTCATTGGAAAAAAATCATCAAAAGTTGAATACATTAACAGTTAATAATGACGTTGAAAAAGTTCATACTGATCAACATTTCACTGAATGCTTACGTATTGGTTTACTTCCAACTATATCATTTGCTTCACGTTCTGATTTAATCGGTCAAACTGCACGAGTTTGTTTAGATCAAGTAGCTAAGAATTGTAAATATTCAAGGTTAGTTTTATGGTGTGTGTTTTTCTACAATTCATAAGTTAAAATTTCTTAGAGTTTCTATTTGTATCACTCACATAATATTTTATTATATAGAACATGTAACTGCTAATGCTTGTTTGAACCATCTATCAAGCTTAATAATTTCACTGTATATGCCTGAATAATTAATTTTATGGAATACTGAGGACATGATGTAATCTGGTTTTGGAAAATCACTATGTATTTCGTGTATGGTATTTGGTTATTTCAACTTAATGATTAAACTATCTGCCTCAGAGAACTTTAAGCTATTAGAAAAATCTATTTGTTGGATTTTGTTTGTGAATGAACGTTTACTCCCCTTTTCTTATATCCTCTTCACTGATCTTATAGATTTGCTCTATTTCCTGTGACATAAATAAGGTCCGCCAATTTGTTTTATGTCCAATATCGTGTTACTTTATTATTAATAATAAGCCATTTACACAATCTATAAATTGACTGAGGCCTTTGTAAATCACATCAAGTTACTAGATCACTTTATATTAATTTGAACAACATTGAAAGGAGATGGTATGATTTATCGATTCATTTGTTCACAGTCGTTCGTTCGTGATAAACATCTTGAAGTTTGTGTGCCTATCGTAACGAAAGCTGCAGATGATCAACGAACATCTTCCGACATAAAGTAGTCCACAATTCTGATGTGTTTCAGGTTAAAACTTTAGGTGTCTTTATTGCAATTCAGTCAATGAATTGGTTTGGTTATTATTTGTAAATTATATTCCATATAATCAAAATCACTATTTTTTTCGCGCTCTCTCTCATTCTTTTGATTACAGCGTAAGCGAACTGATTACAATTAATGCTGACTACTTGGTTTCCAGTATAACTCTAGATTTACATCGCGTTAACTTATTGACTATGACAAATTCATCAAATGGTAACAATGCAATTTCTCTGTCGAGTGAAGTAGAACAAAGCTTGTTATCAGCTTGTAATGCTACAAACACTTTGTTTGAATACTGCACAATCAATGTACTGCCAGTTTTAAAACCGATGGTTACAAAAGTAATTTAATTATCTTAGGTTTTTTATTTTCCTACCGTTACATTATAAATTTGTTTCAATATTTTTATAATAGAACTTCTTAGTGCTTAGTCAAACTATTACTCAACATTTCATACACGTAGTTCCCTTTATTATCCTAAAGAGAGCAAGAACAAAGATTGGTGCAGAATAATATGAATTCATTTTATTTCGTTAGCTTCTCATCAACTGCTTACAACCTAAATTATTTAGAATTCAACATTATTACAGATATTGACATACTTATACATACGAGGGTGATTAATGATGCATAAATGTATCATGGTGCAGCGAAGATTCCGATAGAGTTAATGAGGTCATAAGATTTTGTCTTGAATAAATAAAGTTAGAGGGAAAGTTCCGGAACATTGAAATAGTGATTAGAACTCATGAAAATATATTAATGGTAATAAAGAGAATATGAATTGCAATCAGTCAATTATGTATGATGTAATTTAAAAGAGTTGGAGTAATGACGCAATAAATAAACAAAAAAATAAATAATTCACTTGATATTGTTTTACTTGAATCTTCCCATTGATGTTTTAGGACTGAAATTGATCAGTCTCTTATTGGCATATGTGCATACTGTGCGTATGCCTCGATATTGCCTTAATTTACAAGCATTATAAGCAAAGATGGATAGTGGCTAGCAGTGGAATCCAGGACGCGCGTTTCGTCCTGTTTGAAATAAACAGGTAGAAATAAATGAATAAAAAAGGGAGGGGTAAAGAAAGATTTATTACTGTCTCTTTTTGTATACATAGGTCTGGTTTCAGACGTTTAATTGCTAATGCTTCAGTAAATTTCAGAAGGTTGGAGCTTGATTGTTTATTAATCACTTTGAAAGACTTCAGTGTATCGACTTCGTGTCCTGTGTCAAGGAGATGTTTTACGATGGCACTGTTGAATGCTTTCAATCCATTTGATGTTAAACTTTTCGGAATATGTTCTTTGAATCGGACGTAGGCTCTCCTTCCTGTTCTACCAATGTAACTGCTTTTGCAGATACATGTGAATTTGTATACACAGTTGTTGGTAACATGAAAGGGATACCTGTCGACCTTTAATTGTGTCAAAGAATATGTTGTTTTGGACAGTACAATCAATTTTGTTACAAGATAAGTTCTTGACAATGCAGTTTTTAGTCTCATTGATTGATCCTGTGACATCATCACCTTTGAATTTTAGTTGAATAAAAATAGGCTTTTAATTTGCTGTAATTTCTTTGGGTTTTTTATCTTCACGTTTGCCATATTTCCTAATAAACTTCAGTGGGTATCCATCATTCTTTAGACATTTTTTAACATTCATAATTTCCTCTTCTAGTGTATCGGCAGTACATATTCTTTCTGTTCTGTGAAACAGTGTTTTGACCAGTACCCTTTTGTAACTAATTGGACAAAAGCTATTGAAATTGAGATAACTTCCATTCCATTTGGCCTTTTTATAAACTGAACGTTGAACTGTACCATCCTTTCTTTGTTTTACCGCGATATCGAGAAAATGGAACTTGTTTTCTTTTTCATGTTCCATAGTGAAATGGATATTTGGATGGGCTTCGTTGAAAAGCTTTAGCAGATTTGTTGCATGTTGTTGATTATTACATACGATGAAGGTATCATCAACATACCTCGAATAATACATCATTTCATCAATCGCTCCTTTGAGCTTGGTTCTTTCGAGGTTAGCCATGAAAATATCTGCTAGGACAGGACCTAACGGACTTCCCATTGCTACACCGTCGGTTTGTCTGTATTTGATGTCGCTGAACTGGAACTGAATATCTTTTGTACAAATTAGTAACAGTCGTTTGAATTCTGGTGCTGATAGAGGTAGGATCTCTGGATTTAAACTACTGACACTAATTTGTACAAAAGATATTCAGTTCCAGTTCAGCGACATCAAATACAGACAAACCGACGGTGTAGCAATGGGAAGTCCGTTAGGTCCTGTCCTAGCAGATATTTTCATGGCTAACCTCGAAAGAACCAAGCTCAAAGGAGCGATTGATGAAATGATGTATTATTCGAGGTATGTTGATGATACCTTCATCGTATGTAATAATCAACAACATGCAACAAATCTGCTAAAGCTTTTCAACGAAGCCCATCCAAATATCCATTTCACTATGGAACATGAAAAAGAAAACAAGTTCCATTTTCTCGATATCGCGGTAAAACAAAGAAAGGATGGTACAGTTCAACGTTCAGTTTATAAAAAGGCCAAATGGAATGGAAGTTATCTCAATTTCAATAGCTTTTGTCCAATTAGTTACAAAAGGGTACTGGTCAAAACACTGTTTCACAGAACAGAAAGAATATGTACTGCCGATACACTAGAAGAGGAAATTATGAATGTTAAAAAATGTCTAAAGAATGATGGATACCCACTGAAGTTTATTAGGAAATATGGCAAACGTGAAGATAAAAAACCCAAAGAAATTACAGCAAATTAAAAGCCTATTTTTATTCAACTAAAATTCAAAGGTGATGATGTCACAGGATCAATCAATGAGACTAAAAACTGCATTGTCAAGAACTTATCTTGTAACAAAATTGATTGTACTGTCCAAAACAACATATTCTTTGACACAATTAAAGGTCGACAGGTATCCCTTTCATGTTACCAACAACTGTGTATACAAATTCACATGTATCTGCAAAAGCAGTTACATTGGTAGAACAGGAAGGAGAGCCTACGTCCGATTCAAAGAACATATTCCGAAAAGTTTAACATCAAATGGATTGAAAGCATTCAACAGTGCCATCGTAAAACATCTCCTTGACACAGGACACGAAGTCGATACACTGAAGTCTTTCAAAGTGATTAATAAACAATCAAGCTCCAACCTTCTGAAATTTACTGAAGCATTAGCAATTAAACGTCTGAAACCAGACCTATGTATACAAAAAGAGACAGTAATAAATCTTTCTTTACCCCTCCCTTTTTTATTCATTTATTTCTACCTGTTTATTTCAAACAGGACGAAACGCGCGTCCTGGATTCCACTGCTAGCCACTATCCATCTTTGCTTATAATGCTTGTAAATTAAGGCAATATCGAGGCATACGCACAGTATGCACATATGCCAATAAGAGACTGATCAATTTCAGTCCTAAAACATCAATGGGAAGATTCAAGTAAAACAATATCAAGTGAATTATTTATTTTTTTGTTTATTTATTGCGTCATTACTCCAACTCTTTTAAATTACATTATACATAATTGACTGATTGCAATTCATATTCTCTTTATTACCATTAATATATTTTCATGAGTTCTAATCATTATTTCAATGTTCCGGAACTTTCCCTCTAACTTTATTTATTCAAGACAAAATCTTATGACCTCATTAACTCTATCGGAATCTTCGCTGCACCATGATACATTTATGCATCATTAATCACCCTCGTATGTATAAGTATGTCAATATCTGTAATAATGTTGAATTCTAAATAATTTAGGTTGTAAGCAGTTGATGAGAAGCTAACGAAATAAAATGAATTCATATTATTCTGCACCAATCTTTGTTCTTGCTCTCTATAAAATTTCTCACCAGTTTATTCACTTCGCCCACATTTTCTGGCTTTTAGTTCTCGACATTTTCCAGTGTTGTATACAAATTGAGAAGCATATGTAAGTTAAGACCATAATTATGTTCTATTTCACAGCAACAGTTGATGAGTTTGAAAAACATGTAAGATCCATTTGATTCTTTTTTAATTGTTACGTTTAAATATTTCGCATTGATTATAACCCAAGTTACTGGATAAACGGTGTTTAATTTGTTCAGAAAGTATCAGCTGATGTGCTAGCCAGCTATCAATTAAATTTACGAAACCATGTATTTTGTCGAACTCAGTCAGTCAGCGACAACGTAGGACCAGGCACATTTATGGATCGGTCCACGTTGCCATACCTCATTAACACAACAAGATGAACACCGGATTCGTAAAAGTTGTTAATTCAGAGGTGGTAATATATAAACGATAGATTGCATATAAGGATATAATACAGGGAGAAAGAATTAGTTCCTAGAAATAAAGATATGAAGCGATTTTAATCTCATAGTTTAAGGGAAGACAGAGTGTATACACCGACTCCATTGTGATATATTCTGAGCCATATCACCCAGTCTCCAACCATTGGTTACGATAGTCACGCGGACCCCAACCAAGTAGTCTGCATCTACCAACATGGCTGAAACCAGATGTTAGTGACTTCAAGCACTGATGCCACGTTTTGGTTTGGCCGCCCCTAACTTTCTTCCAACTCTCTCCAACACCGGTTAGCATTGCGCATCGTGGTAATCAATGTTCAGGCATACGTAACACGTTGCCCAACCATCTCATTCGATGAAGATTCACAACCTCATCAACTGATTTACCATAATTCAATAATACCCTGCTTATAACCTCACTATTACTTACCCGGTGATCCCAGCAGATGCTAGCAATATTTCTAAGGCATCTGTGGTCAAATACTAGTAGCTTACGAGTGTCTTCTACTCTTAATGGCCATGTTTCGCTGCCGTAAATTAAAACAGAACGGACTGCCGCGCAGTATTCTCGTCCTTTTATTGATAGATGGATATCTCGCCTTCGCCACAGGTGACGTAAGTTGGCAAAAGCCAAACGAGCTTTTCGAATCCGTGCTGAGATTTCGTCAGACACCAACCCATTAGGGCTGATCAGACTTCCAAGATAAGTGAAGTTGTCAACGCGTTCGACTACTTCACTCCCTATTCCTAGTTCAGGTGTTGACGCAGACCAGTCCTGAAGCAACAACTTGCATTTAGAGGGAGAGAAGGGCATTCCAAATATTCTGGCACTGTTGCTTAGTGCTGCCAGAAGACTGCATTTTATCAGTATATTCACCAAACAGGACTATATCATCTGCGTATTCTATGTGGATAAGTGGACCTCCTGGAAGGAGATTAATACCCGAGAATTCAGTCGACGAAGATGTTATTTCCATCAATAGGTCTATGATGAAGTTAAACAGAAATGGAGAAAGTAGACAGCCTTGACGGACACCACTTGAGGTTGCAAAAGTAGATGACAGTTCGCCATAAGCCCTGACTCGACTAGTAGTGTTCGAGTAAAGAGCCTTCACAAGGTTTATTTACTTCTGAGGTACGCCTTTCAATGACAGACACTGCCACAGAATCTCGCGTTCTACGGAGTCAAATGCTGCTTTTAAGTCAAGAGAGACCACGGTCACACACGACCTTTTTGTGGGTAATTTTTGTGTTAGCTCCGTAATTGTTGAGACCTTACCGCCGGAGACGGATATCCGTGGGATAAGGCGAGGTGTGCATTTTTAGGGTCGACCTTTTCTAACCCCACCCTTCCTTGTGGGAAGGCAGCATCGCTGTCATTCTGGTTGTCTAAAGGAAACACCTTACTGTTGTCACACCTCTGTACAGTCAGCAATACGACTTGGCCTTCGGACCTTACGTTTGTTGCTTTTAGTCTAACCGCTCTTCAACCGACCTGTCTGACGTGGTAGGACCTTGAGGAACGGTTGTTTCAGCCAGTATAGCTTGGTTGATTCATCACGACAGGCAAGCCCGACCACCGCGTCAAGGTAGCAACAACGATCGGGATTTTGTCGAGCTATTCAACTTCCGGCCTCTAATTTTCAGGTTAGAACGCCACTCTGATGACTGGTTTCGGTAACCAACATTTCTCTTTAGCCATCACACTAAGAATATGGCTCGAAGTCAAATAGACGAATCTATACCTGGTAAATGAACTTTAAAAAGTACACTACAATGCTTATGTTATGAATTTCAGTCTCACATTGATCGAAGTGTTCTACTATTTGGCGTAACGGTGGATTTTAACATCAGCTCTTTATTCTTACACGAGAATATAATTAATGTACGAACCTTACATTCTGTGTAACTGTTAGAGATGATTACGGAATAAAAAAAAGTGTACTCAAATTAGGAAACAGCGATAAAACTTCGGTTTTTATCGTATAAATGGAATATAGTTGGAATTAAAAATCAGGACGCTTGTTTCATCTTATATAAAACTGACCAACTAGATGTACCTAGATCTCAAATTTGATCTTCACTCTAAGATCCAAACTGAATTCAATTTTATTCAAACGCCCAACTCATTATCCTATTAGCTACTGAGTTCACATAGCCACTCATTTGAACAACAAGTCTGAATTTTAATTCAATTTGTAATTTATCCACATTTCATCTATTCTACAAAAACTTGTGACATAATGAATATATTGAGGCAATTCTCACAAAATGCATATATATCAATTAAAATACCAACAGCGGAATAATTAAAATAAAATCATTATAAATGGAATAAACCTTGATTTTTTTCTCGTTCAGCTTCAGCACTACTTACATTCATTTTAAAAGCAGAACAATTTATTTAAATAATTTCTTTTATTTCTTATTTTTGAAGGTGTTGTATTATTTTGAACTGGTTGATTTAATCACAAGGTTTCCGTTATCTATTTAAATAATATCATGAGAACATACTTCAAACATAACTGATCTATTAAATTTGGAAGTCATCAAAGTACTAATTAGAGGAAGCACAATGAAAGTTTGTTATTTTTCACAATAAGAAAAAGGAATACTTTACTTTCAGAGATCAAATCATAGACGAAAGCAATCGGAACAAATATTCAAATAATGGTTAGACACTCATAAATAATAACAAACCTAATTACAAGTTAGTGGGATAAACTGTTAATCTTACTTACGTACGTACTTACGCCTGTTACTCCTCGTAAACGAGCCTAGGCCGCCCACCAGCATTCTCCATCCAATCCTGTCCTGGGCAATCCTTTCCACCTCTTTCCAGTTGTTATTCATCGTCTTCATATCTGCTTCTATTTCCTGACATAATGTATTCTTTGGCCTTCCTCTTTTCCGCCTTCCTTCAGGATTCCAAGTTAGGGCTTTCCTCGTGGTGCAGTTTGATGATTTGCATAATGTATGTCCTATTCATTTCCATCGTCTTTTCCTAATTTCTTCTTCAGCTGGAAGCTGGTTTATTCTCTCCAAAAGAAGACTTTTGCTGGTGGTATCCGGCCAATAGATGTTGAGTATCTTGAGTGAACAGCTATTTATAAATACTTGTACCTTCTTGATGGCGGTTGTTGTAGTTCTCCAAGTTTCAGCTCCGTACAGTAGAACTGCCTTGACGTTTGTATTGAAGATTCTGACTTTGATATTGGTTGACGGTTGTTTTGAGTTCCATAGGTTCTTCAATTGTAGGAATGAAGCCCTTGATTTGCCAATCCTCGTCTTTACGTCTACATCAGATCCTTCTTGTTCATCGACGATGCTTTCCAGGTATGTGAAGGATTCTACATCTTCCAAAGTTTCGCCATCAAGTGTGATTGGATTGCCGTTCTCCTTGTTGTATTTGAGGACCTTGGTTTTACCCTTGTGTATGCTGAGGCCTACTGATGCAGAGACTGCTGCTACACTTGCTGTCTTTATCTGCATTTGTTCATGTGTATGTGATAGGAGGGCTAGGTCATCTGCGAAGTCCAAATCGTTTAGTTGGTTCTCAGCTGTCCATTGTATGACGTGTTTCCCTCAGATGTCGAGGTCTTCATAATCCACTCGACCACTGAAAGAAAGGGGAAGGGAGAGAGTAGACAGCCTTGTCTGACTTCGGTCATAAACAACTAATCATTTGTGAATAAATTCTAATTCCTCACTTCTTTTTCAAGTAAATCCTGATGATATTATATAGAAAGGTAATGAGTGCTTTTACAATTAAACCATTTAGCTCCGTGAATACAATAGCTGCCATTTTTAAAGCTGTAAAATCGTAACTATATACTTATTTTTCAAGATGATACTAATTACAATAATAGTGATAATAAAATCCTGTTAAAGATGGTAACAATGAGGTAGAATAAACAAATGTATTACAACATTATTTTTTATCAGGAAAGATAGTGATAATTTTATTGTTAAGGGCCTGAATGTGCATCATAAAGATAGATTTTCTAAAAAGAACATTCTTCGTATCAACTTTGCGAATAGTGTTCTCCAGCAGATAATAATCATAAGGATAAATAATCTCATTTGACCAACTCTGTGTGCATTGATCAATTCACCTGATTTTGCGGAGCTAGGTATATAGGTCATTCGATGCGTACTTTATCCAAAAAATTCAAGAACATGATCCGGCTTGGCTAAAAAGAGGAGATAAAAGCTCAATGATCGAAAACCTTGTGAACACAAGTTACTCAATCGAAGCGGACTGTGTGTTTAAAGTCATCCACAAGGTAAGTAGAAGGCTGCCAAATGCAGTTATATCCCATCTTAGCATTACCGAAGCATTAGCTATTCATTTGGAAAAACCACAATTATGTGTCCATAAGAAACTGGTACAACCTCTTCTATCATGGTCTTAATGTCCTATAATTTTCTTTCTTCTTCATACTTTTCTTCCTTCATAGCCATCTTCACCCCCTTCTATCCTGTTGATCATAATTCATTTCAATCTCAACAATTTATCTTATCATGCTCGGCCTTTTCCAATTTTAATTTCACTATTTCCACGATGAATATTCAAGCGCTTAACACTGAGACTCATTATTTACCCTGATAAAAATATCGTTAATACCTTTGTTTATTCTACTTCACTGTTACAATGTTTAACAGGATTTTATTATCACTGTTATTGTAATTAGTATCATCTTGAAAAATAAGTATAATTACAATTATACAACTTTTAAAATGAATTCGCCGAAAGGTGAACTCTTTGCTGAACCAATCTTTCTTTGTATCTTAATTAGTATATTCCATTTACCTTCCAAATCATCAACTTGATCTACAAATGCTCTTCATCAAACATTTTTTAGTCTCCTTTTTGTATAAACTTTGCATAGCTGTCATGCTTAAATGAATTATTGTTTTCTTTCCTACCAGATGCTTTCATCATTAGATGTTACATATGAATATACAACGGAACTTTTCCTTACACCATTTTATCAATTAATGCAAACATGTCGTAAATGGAATGAATTATTGACAAGAAACAACAAGTCTTCAGACCGAGCAACTGATTCATCTTCAATGGTTGGATCAATAACTAATCAACAGAAAATGGTAAATGTTTATATAAGTAATATATTCATTCAGCATACAAATTTTCTCGTAGATACATTTAACTAAAGCAAAAACCACAAGCGTAGGAGAATTATATAAATTTTTATCAGCATAGTGTTTTGTGGAAATTATAGAATTTTCATAGTTTTAAATTACAAACTAATCTTAGTTAAAATATCATTAAAAGCAAGGAAGCACTGGTCATCTGTTTTATCCTAGTGTGGGACTCTTCAGGAGTGCGCGCCCACCGCTTTTCCATAGGGAATTAAACCCAAGGCCTTTGATGTCTCATGTGAAAGCTTAACTTGTTGATTGCTAAGCTGTTATCCAACAGTAGTAAAGTCCAACTTTAATGAATTCACTATATTAGTCGACGGATCTGCCATTGTCTACCGTTAATAACTATCTGACATCCGACATGGTTGAACTTCACTGGTCACAGTTTCTGGTAAAACCCCAAGTATTGTATCATGAAGCTATTGATTAATAAGGACCCATGGGTTCTATTCACTGTGAAGGGGTCATGGATCTGTCCCTCTAAAGAATCACATACTGAAACGAAACATCGGTCCAGTGAATCCTGGTTTTCAATGGTGGTCTACCTAAGATCAATTTACGATTTAAAGCTGTGGTAATATAAATCGTTTTATTTCATGATTTCTCTTCAGTTGCTTACAACCTAAAAACGATAATAATTACTATTTACAACCAATATGCATACTTTGCATTATATCCATGAAAATGTATAGACTAACAACAAGTATGGGAAAATTGTAAACTGCTATAATGGATTAATATTTATCTGTTATCATATGTAGGAATTCGTGAAGAAAAACTTCAAGACACATAAAGAAGTGTTTCTAAAAGGTGAAAAAAAAATAATTAAAAAGATGCGTAACACCAAGCGTAAAATTGGCTAGATTGAGTAAATGAAATTAGTAAAGCTCAGAAGAAAATGAAGTAATTGAATACTAAAAATTACAGATCATCAGGATAATGCGAGTTTTACAATTGTAGCTTCTTTCAAATATACAAGTTTAGTTTTAACTTATTATAATCGCAATGTCATTGATAAAACATAATCATTTCGAATTCATTGGAGTATTGTATACTTTCAACAGTTTTAAAATATCAAAATTATGTTTACCAACATAACAGATGACAAACAATTACACTGCTGTAAACACATTGACTTATTAATCTCATCTTATTATGCTGCGTTTGTTGTTTTTCTTTGGTCCATTTCTTTCCGTTAATTATTACACTACATTATTATCATATATATTACCCTCAGACGAATTATTCAGAATGCAGCAAATCACGTCTTACTGATTTATATCAAAAAACAATCAGTCTTGTATCCGAGACACGTTCACTTCATCACATTGAACCGATTAATCAAACTAATGGAGCCAATTATACTGATACCTTAAATCAACCAGAGAAAATTAAGATGGATCCTGTGAATGATGATATGGATAACGATGAAAATCATACGTTTCCCGATCATTTACAAATAGTTGAAGAAGTAGGTAAATGTTTTCTCTATATGGGCTGTAATAAATTGTATTCCTTTCTAGTTCAGCCTACTCTGATTTTTTATGATAAAAATGAATCAATTGATTATTCACGACCCATTTGGCAAAATTGTGAGGACATTAAACTGTTGTTTCATTTGGGTTTTGAACTAATAAATAAGACCTTCCTATCCTTCTGGCAGCAAGTAACTAAATATTCATTTAACAACTGGTAACTAACTAACTAGCCAAAAATTTTAATTGTCTTAGTTCGAAGCTCCTCAGTGGTGTGCGTCCACAACCATGTCTTATAGAATAAAACCCAGAAATGTTGGTCTTGAGTATGAACGCTTGAACTCCAAACCAAAAAGTTCATCACCCAGCGATATTAATATATGACTTCACTATATTCCATGACCGTATTCTATCACTGTCGATTGATAACTGAAAGTTGAACAATCTTCACAAACCCGTTCTATTGATAAAAGTATAGTTTAATTTTTATACATAAGTAATTTGATATGAAAGATTGATAGTATTAGCGTACTAACCAAAAATGTATCAGACAAATGGTTTCAAAATTAATGTTTAAATCCCATCTGCTTTAGGTTCTAAAATGTAATAAGTAATTCAAGGACTTCATATGTATGCTGTCTTAGATATATACGTATTTATGCTATCGACATATTCATTGCGTATATACATGGTTGTTTACGTCTAATAGTGTTATCCAAATGCATACAACTTATTAGTCGTAGTTAGAACGTGACGTGCTTCTTTGATTTCATCGATAACCACTACCTAAAATATCGAGGCTTATGTTCAACGAGTTTGTTTCTTAGTAGCTTCTAATTGTTGTACTGATCTGTCGTCCAATTCTGCTTCTGTTATATAAGTTTGAACTTGCTACTTGAATGAGAAAACTAAAGATTAGTAGTGAGCTTTACCTGGTTAATCGTAGTAGTATTCTGTGCAGAAATTCATCCATAAATATATATTTATCTCGTTAAGAAAATCAAGCCAGTAGCATATAAATATATATCTTCCCACAAAAAGTCAATTGAAATCTTATCCAATAACGTACACTCCTTAACAGCCCACGCTTATTAATCAGCTTTAAATTAACATGTCAGATAAGTACAGCATATCATCTTTCCTTCTTGATAAAATAAACTTTGCTTTTCAAATTTAATTGCAGGAGTCGAAGTGGATAGTATTGAAATAAATCATCACTTCAATTGAATTCTGAGTATTAACGGAAAATTACAAACTATTAAGATTGTTTACCATTATAATTTTATCAGAAGGGTTTTCGGTGGATATTATAATAATTTCAATAACTGAGATCATGAGTCACCATAGAAAACCTGGATGTGTCGCTCAATTTCGTAAATTGATTGGAGTTAGACATTAACACCGTTGGATTTCGGCTCAGTGGTCTAGAGGTTAAGCATTCGCAAAGCGAGACCTATAGGTCCGATTGTTCCCAGCTTTCCAGTTTTATTATAATTTCTTGTAATTTGACTCTGTTTTGTTCAATTTATCAAATTGTACGTAATTATCAATGTGTTCCTTACAGATTTATTATGTGTTACTGTTTCAGATGTTTCAAATTATAATTTTGTTTCTTCCAATTCTTCACATAATTTCAGGTCATGTTACGATGTATACATTTAATGGCTGATGGAAATCCTAAACTGCGTATACTTTCTATGAATGTTTTAAAAGAAGGTTGTTTGACGTTAGAAAATGAAACCAGTAAGAGACTAGTTATATTAAAATGTTAACTCTTATGAATTAAATTGTAAATTTACTTTTATTATTATTATTGGCTTTATTCAATATTATATTTTTGGTACAATATAGAATTCTCAGCAGAAAGTATTTCAACTAGTTTACTTCTCTTATTTTTTTGATCGATCCTGACGATCAATATTGAGCGATCACCAATTAGATGTTAGCTGTTCAGGAATCGACATCTGAATAATGTTCATTATTTTCAGTGTATATTGTCAACCACCACGATGCCTCTGATTGTACTTTTTTGTAACTTGCACAGCGAAAGATCATAAACGTGCCTGAATAAGTTATACGATTAATGGACATAATTATGTGTTAAAACAAACGGAAAAAGATAACTTGTTGAAACATCTAGATGGCAGGAACAGGTAGCCCAGATATTCAAGCAGGCAGTCAACAACAATGTTAATAATATTTGTCATTTAATGTATTACACGGTTATTCATCTGTGTTGAAAATAAGCAGTTGATTCTACTACAAACTAACCTGAAAATATTCTGGAACACTGTGTTGTTGTTTGCAAAGAATACAGGGACATAATTTTAGTCACGTTTGGGTCTCGTTAGCTAAATGTATTCACATATCATTATTAGTGTTTAGATCTGAATGTCAATAACAAGAAAACTGAAACTCTACTACTACTAATAATAACACAATCGTATATCATTAATTTTATATTTGTTCATTGCTATTTAATTCACTATACTTCCTAACGGTATCATAAAGCATAATGTTAGATGTTTTAAATCCATGAGTTCTGTCATATTTTTCAAAACTTGGTTAGATTTGTTTTATTGTCTAACCATGCTTTCACCTTACCTCTAACCCATTTACATTATAATGTTCAGTAATAAAGCATCTGATATCAAACCACCAATTCTTTCTAAACTCTTTTTTTTCTTTCTTTATAAATATGCTGTGAAATATATTTACTTCAGTTGTTTTTGTTTTTTATACTAAGACACAATCAATCCATCCTGATTGTTTGTTGTCAATCCTGTTACAGAATAATCTCAGATGTCATACATTTCAGTTATTGTTCATTTTGTTAAATTCATGATTTATTAAGATTGTTTGATCTTAAACGATAAATTTCAATGATTTCATTAACATTTCTGTTACTTTACTTATGTTAATACATTAATTAAATTGGTAGTGTGATACATCTAGCGAAGATTACTGTATTATAATCAGACTGATGAACAATACTAATGGCAAGAGTTACTATATAAAACGAAATAGATCTCATAGAACGTACGAATAAAACGACGTTGTTAAAGGGATAGGTTTAAACTTAGTAACTCAAATGTTAATAATCAAAATTATTTAAATAATTCATGGTATAATAATCCTAATAAATATGTTCTTTAAAACAATTAATCCTTTTCAGAATGGGTTTTGTGGAGATTTTTAGAAATTTCACAAGTTGAAATCATGAGCCAATTGATGCGCACTGCTGAGGAGTCCCGTACTAGGACGAAACGGCCGTCCAGTGCTTCCAGGTTTTCCATGGTGGTCTAGCTTCAATTGGCTCATGATTTCAACTTGTGAAATTAATCCTTTTGATAAAATTTTATAATCCAATGAGAAGACGAAGGTTTTTAGAATTATGTAATATGATTTGCGCAATACATTTCGAATAATCTGATCACACATAAACTTGTTAAGACATTTTTATATGAAAATCAAAATGGTCAACTAAACAGACTAAAGGTCTAGTTGATCTTTCAATTCAAATATGAGTTAATATACTCAGCTCTATTGTCCAAACTAACGGCTAATTGTACTACTCAACTGTGTAAAATGAATTCCAATTTGTAACAACATATCGGACTGAAATTCGAATGCGTTAATTCACTTAATCAATGTTCTACATTGTTATTTCTATGAAGCAGTATTTTTGTTTCTTTATATCAAGTTATAGATTTTTGATATTTTATTAATATTTTAGATTTATTATTACCGATTGTTCACAAAATATGGACGTCTTTAATGAAACGATTTCATGATAATCATGCTATAGTTGTTGAAAAAGTAAGTTTTGTAACCAATTTAAAATGATGTTTTTTCTCTTTATATATTTTCATTTTTATTCATATTAATCTGCATCACATCGACTTAGTATGATAATACTTGAGATCAAACAAATAAATACATACCTTTCGACATAATTCGGCTTGATTTTCTAGGGATTTACACGCTATTGGTTGAAAATATCATCTAGGAGACAAAAAATGTATATTCGTGAATGAGTGTACACATTCCATAATAGACTTTAGTCAATAACGTTACTTTTTCATTCTCGATCTTCTCATTCAAGTAATTGATTTGAACCTGCATATGGAAGTTTTTATATCAGTATCAAGATTAAACATCGCACTAACATAACAAAGTACAATTGGTCTGTTAAATTTATTGTTTTGAGTAGTCGTCAATTCTCGAACCATTATGTTAAGTTGGATTGATGGCAAAGTAAATTTCTACTGTAGTTCAGTAACTTTTATTCGTATCTTATATTACTATTAATAATTATACAATCCTACCACTCTGTGTACTGTACATTACTATAGCTATTTTCCTTTTAACCCGGTCATGGTACACACCAAATTATAAAGCTAATTTTATTTACTATCTAATTGATCACTTAATTTCTTCAGTTTGTGGTAATTATGATATGTAAACAATTCAAGAAAAGAGAAGAAAATATTCAATGGACTGTTTATTTGTATCTACGTCAACAGTTTATCGAAATTTCATGATTGATGCTAATTGAATCCCTAAAATCACCACAGAAAGTATAAAAGGGGTTAAACATGTATGAAATATACATTTGTTGATTTAGTCGAATTGTTTATGTATAATGTCTTAGTGAACATTTGTAATTATTTTCAGGTTCGTGTCCAACGGAGATTGGTAGTAATCAACGCTTGTTAATTATAATTGTTAACAGTTTACTTATCGAACTCAACTATTTCAACATTTTTACATGTTGCAAATTATACCTAGATTGTTAGATTTTTTTCTTTAATAAAAATAGTTAAATAACACTGTTAAAACCACCACATTCCGTCGAAATGTTCGATTTGGACCATTTATTAGTGTCTTAAACTCCCTTCATGGTAAACGTAGGTGAATGTTCCAAACATAAATGAGGTTACAATTAGTTGTATGGTTGCATTAAATCTGCTAAAAGACAAATCCATATAAAATCAAGTATAATGCTTCTTACTTTAGGTTTAAATGATTATTCATTGAAAATGTGGTATTTCAAAATAAAAAAATTAGTCTGTAGGGACTCATAGTTTCCAACGTTAACGATATGGTTATCCTTTAAAATTTAAAATTCATATTTTTCTATCACACTTTATCTGCGTCTTTTATTACAGGCATTCGACCTCTTGACTGTGTTGTCTAAAGTTGCTGGAAACTTTATTCGACAACGTGCATCGTCAGAGATAATTCCTCCTTTGGTGTTATTTTTAACACGTGGTGCTACTGTAAGGTTAGTAGCCCTATCCTTATCATGTATTTGATGTTAACTATTTAATCTGAATCTTTGTAATACAATTGCTAGTTAAATGCAAATTATAAGTGATAATTTTTTATTTCTTAAAAATATACTTGGTTAACCAACAGTTCTGTTTAGTCAAACTTATTAGGCCGGAATTCAGGTATGGATTCTGTAAGAAAATTATATATTCATCTGACTCGGTTTAATGATCATTCTGTTAGCATTTATTGTAGTGTTCTATCACACAACTTTTTCACCATCATATTCTCCAAAATATCCTGACTTCTTTCCTTACGAATGTTGAGTTTCCACTTCAGATTGTTTGTTTTCTTTGCTTGTTTTATAGTGCGTCGGCATCAAAGTCTTACAAATACCTTACATCTTATCGTGTACAAAAACGATTACTTAAAGAGATCGGACCTCTTTGTATACAAGTAAGCTGATATATCCTCCTTTTTATTCATGAATTATATTTAATTTTATTTAGATGGGATTATTATCACAATCACTCAGACCTGTGATCAATGTACTTGTCATGTATTTAGATAATTCACAACCGGAAGGACTACAACAGGTATGATGTCTTTATTATTTCAATGTCGTCTTATCAATTTTTCACTCCATCTCTTAGTTAATATGCTTCTACCTTTATCGACAGGTCGGTGTACAAGTCGACTGTGCTGTTATTTTTATTTATTGAGCTTAAAAACTAGCTGACACAATCATTCTAAGCGTCACATTGAAATAATAATACTAAATAGATTTTAAAAATTTGTAATCCAAGCGAATGATTTTCATGATGCGTTCTCTCAACCGAGTAGTTCAATCCTTCCGGTTTCATTTGTGTGCTGAACATCACCATTAGTACCTACTTTACACATAAGTCACAAATAATCATTCTGTTTGTCAATTTATTTGCTTATTTTGTAGAAGATGTGACTAGATTTCTATTAAACTGTCATACCTTCGTCACTTTCTACGAAGATATCAGTCGTAGTTGATCAACTGTACTAGAAAACACACCAATTTTTCAGGTCAAATGAAATATATATCAATCTTAAGAATTATTCAACTGGTATTACGAATCATTGACAAGATTTTACTGAATATCATCATCATAATCATCCATAGTCATTCTCCATTCCGTGTTTAAAAAAGTAATTCCTAGAGCACTCTGAGCTTCCTTTCTGTAACTTCATAACTACACTAGAATTTTATAAATAGGTTATACATGTATAACCAATGAAAGTAAAATTTAATTGGGCGATAAGCGAAAAAAGCAGATGTTCAGCTATGTGAAATGTATAAGCCAGTATATCTTATTGTAAACTCCCTCTACTACTGATTTGATTGTGCTGTACACTGAATCCCACACTGTGTTAATGAACAATTTTCTGTCTCTATGATCTAGCTCTCACTTGTTAGTCGAATGTTGTGTGTGTGCGTACTATGGGGTTATCTAGTATCTTAATCTAGTGTATCTGGTTGTAGTATTCAGTTGAATGTCATCATATTTCATAACAGAGGTTATATGTATTAGTATTTTCCTCATTATAACATTACTTTTGGTCATTCTTTCGAAGAAATTAAAAATGGGTTAAATGTTTTCAGGAGATGTCAGTTATTTACTATTGTGTTTCTCGTGAGATTTAGGATATACCTAAATATGTGAATAACTAGTAATTCTCTGTTTCTCAATTGATAAATTATCCAGTCTACAACCAATCCAATTCACAGTCAAGTAAGGTTTTCCAACAGAATATTGGTTATGCGTTTTGAATGATTATCTGTTTTGAATATAGACTTTGCCTTGAATTAACATCAGTTGAGAAACTAGGGAATATTAGACAACGGTTTTCGAACGTCTCAAAGCAATGTCCACCCACAAACCTATGTAGTATTATATTAAAAACCTTCAAATTTTGTAGTGATCATTATGCTCCATTAATCACTGAGTTAAAATCTAGCGATCCACATTTTCAATTCACAGTCTGTTGTAAAGTTCATTGAAACAATGCACTCATTTTCGAGTCAAGTTAGATGACGATCTTAACTTCTCGGAATATTTATATATGAGTACTTAGAAATAAATAGATTTTTCTACTATGAATGGTAATTGGGTTAAGTTAAAGTTTACATTCAAGATGATAAAATTAGTCATAACACTTAACTGTTAGTACTGACGAATCCGAAAAATGACCCATTCAGTATGTTCTGATAAGTAAAATATGCATTAACCTATAAAACAGTAACAAGTTCACATATTAATCAAAGAACCAAAAGGAAAAATCTGTCAGTAAAATCTTAGTTATTGATTAGTAATATAGTTACCATACACAAACCTCACATATAGTGCAACAATTATCCCATATCATCGCTGGTTATTATAAGGATCCATCTTGATGTTAGTCGCTAGTCAGTACTTCTTTATAAAATTGGATGTATTTTTTTACTGTAACCTTATATTTTCAGCTGTAGTTACATGTTTTGCACGTTTTAACTAAGTTACTCAGGTCTCTTGACAACTTTTTAAAAAGAAAAAAAGGACTACTTATAATATGTAGTCTACTATTATTTATTATCATGGTTTAATTCGAAGCATTGTTTACAGGTAGTGGGATCACCAGCTGTGTAATGCTCAGTTTAGACGTAGAGTACTAGGTAGTAACAGAAAGTGAACTGGTAAAACTATGAACTGTCATTGACTTGAAATCAAGGATTAATTACATTACATGAACTCACTTGTCTTTTTTTGTCTGACCCACGTTAGAAGTTACAAACTTTCTTACTGTAAGCCTATACAATAAATTTTTACTAAAATGTGATGAAATTCTTTTCAATCGCACCTATTTTCTACCGTCTCAATTTTCAGTTAAGTATTATTACCTATATTCCTTTTTTAAAGTCTCATTTGTTTATCTCAACTTTGTCTTAGATTTCTATCTTCATTTGCTTGTTATCTCTTTAAATTTAAAAAATCCATTATGAAACCTATCTATAAGCATTTTAAGTAGATTCGTTGAGGAATGTCTAGTACTATTACTACAAAAGATCACTCGAGATCCAAATCGTTAAGTGGTAACATCTTAGAGTCCAAATCTGACTGACTCGAATCTGAATCTCACAGAGGACATTAGTTCCCCTTAAGATTATAAGTGCGTCTGGCTGACGAGTAGGATGTGACCGAGGTCCAGGATTTCATGTTGACTAACTCTGATCACCAAATATCGTAACACAGTGCACTCGGTATTGAGTCCCTATATTAGTGATCGCATTACAACTTGGTTGATAGAATTCAATCATCATTTAAAGGATTAGACAAACACGATGTCTGTCATTTCTTAATGATCAATTAATTGTCTAGCACTTTAATTTAAGTGGGATAGTAGAATTCTATGTGACTAAAACCATTAGTGTTTATTTTATATTAGAGTTGTAATTCCGTGAAGTAAGGGAGCATTCAAGTTGTCAAGGGCATATTTAAGTGATGTCTCATCATTAGTGCAATTATCTGTTAACAAGTAATCTCGGACCCTCGAAAGATTCTGTGATAGCAATTTGTGTAAGTAATAATTTATTGTTGTATATGTTGACATCAGTTAAAGAAAATTTGATTGATTTGTTATGGAGGAGTTGCGTTTTGGAGTCACTGACAGATTGGACATTGAAGCTTTCATTGTCCTTCTAGACAATATAAGCGCAAACTCCAGATAGAATAACTCAAATAGCTCACTTCTATCTGTTTATGTTAATGATATTGTTTTTATGGACAATGAATGTTTTACGTAGCGCTCACAAAATGCACCACCATTAAAATCATCATTCTAAGCTATAAATTTCGATCATCTCAAAACTGATTGATTACACAAAATTACTTCTTATTGTAAAGTTGTATTTTATCATTTTACTTCAGTTATATAAGACTTTTATGTTTTTCCATACTTGTGTTATATTTAAAAAAAATCTGATTTTACTATTTCCAAAGTAGTTAATTTTTTTTACCCTTTCATTTTTAAATAGGCTTCTATGTCTAGTATAGAAATTATATGGACTCTTGACCCTGGAAGTACATGGGCTCTTCTTATTAATCATCTTTCTGATTCAGATATACAATGCATATATTCTCAGAGATTAGTTAAACCATTTGAAATTATACAAGTAAGTACAATCTTCACATTGATATGTATGTACGTAATGAAACATTGCTTCATAGAATAGATAAATTGTGGGCAACGAAGGTATCCAGGACACATGTTTAATCTCATTTAAGACTTTTCAGTTAGATGTACCTGATGTTCTTAATGAGACCCGAACTAAATATCTCTCTCTTGAAATGACAGTACATTATCTAATTGGCTGCTAAGTCCAGATAACCACTAACTTTTTCGACGAGTATATTCTGTGTGTGTGTCGTTATTAATAAGAGTTTGAATTATCCCATTGTTGCTATTTGAAACTGAGTCTTGATCGGCATTCATTGGTATTTGTAAATCCTATACAGATTGCCTTGATACGCAGCCATCTTGTCACTAGTTTCGTAGAATAGGTGGATTGAGGCGGTCTACACACAATTCACATATGATAACAAAGATTGATATAAAGTCACTCCTCAAAATTAACAACAAGATAATTAAAAGCCGTACTAGTGATGATTTAATCATGCTTTGTCAAAACAACGGCCTTGTTAAATAAATTTTTTATCATCATCATATTCAGTTTACAGGTTATAATCGGTTATTATCTTGCAAGTCAGTTGGATTTAGAGCTTTTGACCATCATATCTTGACTCGGTGGTTTAAACGTGACGCGAAGCTCAAAACTGCTAGGTTCCACCTATGTTATGGTCATAAGTGCCTACTTCCAGAAAAACACCTCAGTGCGGTAAACGAGATTTCTGGTGATCTGTAGTTTCCATTAGTTTGCCACTTAATATCAACTGATAGCGATTCCTTTGAAGAAAATTTATCATCACTTACTCAACTTATACTCAATTTGTGAAGAGTAAATGATGAAGTAGGATAGGTTTAATTCTCTGTATGGTGTTACAAATGACCACAAATCAAACTCATTTTTAATTATACTGATCAAGTAAACTACAGCTGTCAGAAAAATTCTAAATACCCAGGATACTTCATCAATTTCTCTGGGTAATTCGGGGCTACTATCTATCAAAATAACAAGTTTTCGTCAAGAGGAAGTTAGAACCTCTCTTTTGTTAACATGTAGCTTGGAATTCCAAAGTTTTGTTTTTCTACGTACTGAACATTTACTACTCTATACATATCCTGATACTCGTCTACATTTATTTTGTAATAGTTTTTCTCTCTTCAAATCACGGACAATATATTTCCAGATAAATAAACGAATATTGTCTTTAAGTCATCAAACCTGAGACTTTACATTTTACCCTTTATCTCGACTGTTGGAGTTACATAGAGCACAGTTGAAACTGTTAGTAATGTTGAAGTTTAATAATTATACGATTGTATGACATGGATTCATGAACATCAGTTATCTCTCAGATTAAAATTATGTTTTATGCTATTGCAAAAGATATAACACCTAGATTTGAATCTTATTTTGTAATGTATTCAATTGATTCAATCTCGTAAACGTCTGTATTCTACATTTTCAACTGTTATACACACATAATTGCTTCTAGTTTACCAAGTAATTAGAGATTTAGAACACATTTCTTTTTGCTATTGATATATTAAAACAGATATTCATTGGATTAATTTCGCGTTTGTGTAACGGACAGTAAAATAAAGTGAATAATTTAAGAAATGTAAAGGAGGAAACCACCTTACATTTCTTACCTTTATTACAAACTATGAGTGTAGTGGTGGCTTGCTGAATCAAGGTCTCACTTTATAACCTTTAGGTTACACGCTCTAATTCCATTCTTTCATTTTCAATTTGTTTACCTGATAGTGTAAGAATAGTTATTTTTGTAACAATAATGTACTTAGTAAATGAGTTTCATTATTTAAGAAAAATATATTTCAGTAGAGGTTTTTTGTGGATATTATAGTAATTTTAATAGTTGAGATCATTAGTCAATTAAAGCTAGACCACGATGGAAAACCTGGAAGAACCGGACGGCCGTTTCGTCCTATTGTGGGACTCCTCAGCAGTGCGCATCCACGACCTCGCCCCCTGCGAGGCTCGAACCCAGGACCTACCAGTCTCGCGCAAGGCTCTTAACCAACTAGACCAGTGAGCCGGCACCCAATGTTGTTAATGTCTAACTTCAACTAATCCAAGAAATTGGGCGACATATCCACCATTGTCCTACTGTGGGACTTTGCAGCAATGTGCATCCGCGATCCCTCCTCGCCCAAACATTTCAAATATATATATATATATATATATATATATATATATAATGCTTTATATAGCTATATATAGCTTTTCGGTATATTCAATAATGAATTTCAACGTTATTTACCACTTTCATAACAGGTTTATTATCATCCAATTGAGAGACACAAAGATTTAAATGTGAAACTTCAGAATATATCCATTCTTTTAAACAAACTTCATGAAATCTCTGATGAAATTACTAAATGAGCCAAGTTTTTTTCTTTTATGTATATCCCATTATTTTTTTACTACAAAAGAAAACTTGTATCCTCCCTAAAGTTTATATCGAATGTATAACTGTTGAATATTTCTTCAAACTTCTCTTTTTGTCCAAATATATTTTGTAGAATCTTTTTTTTAAAAATGGAGATAATTGTTGTTGTGTCCATATTAATACATCCGTCAAATATTATTGATCATTGATAATAGTTCGCGGTAATTCTAAAGTTTGTTTTTGTTATATCTTGTGCTATGTGTCCCTGTCAATGTATTACGTAATGATACCGCCAATTAGAGAACACTGAATTATCTATTGGACCAATGACGCATAAAACCCGTACGAGCAGCCTAGGGTCCTTATCTCACTTACTTTCCGCCTAGCCCAGTCTGTTAAGTCCAGAACACCAATCTCAGCCTCTGCAATATGAATCATTTATTTCAGACATGCTGGGTTTATATACCAATCAAACAGACCACATCGTATCATAAATTAGGAAACAAGATTTGGCCGAATGTGGTTGTGAATATGGGAGGTAGTGATTAATAGACAGGGAATAATAATTCAAGAATGTAAAATCCTATAATGATAGTTCATAGGTCAAAATAAAAATTATGATAAGCGGAACACTAATATGAATAGTTTAGTTATTTAAAAATTATACGATAAAAATGTGCGCATAGTATTCGTCCATAAATGGATCCCAAAAGTTACGATTCATTATTTTCATCGGGATATAACAATTTTCTTTTCTTTTTAAGGAGGCGTTATTGTCATGATAAGTGGATTATTATAAAAATGTTTTATTCGATATCTACTAGGAAGTCTGATTTTAATAATAATAACACAAGTTATATAATTATCATCTCTTTCATAAAACTGTTCATCTTTTAAGCTGATGGCACTAAATATATATGCACCACACAAATCTCATTTGATTTGTGCAAGGGCTGTGATACTGCCCGGGTGCCCAAACCGAAGCAGGACATCAACGTATACTGCTTAGTGCTATCACTGACCAGTCCTAATGAAACGTATTGCACTTGTGAGCTGACAAACGTGCGATGAAAAATCAGTGTTGAAAGGTCAACAATCTTTTCTGAAGGTGATCATTTGTTACGCACAACATATGAGTTAAGTTCAGTCAATACTAACTTTCAGAGCACTCCAAGTAAGATGCCTGAAACCTTTTTTAATGGCTGTGATATATATATATATATATATATATATATATATATATATATATATATATATATATAGCTTTTATAACCTTGAAATGAATTCAATTGAATAAAGAATGGAATATA